CCCCCCCCCAAAAAAAAATCCCTGCTCAAATGGAGCTTAAAAATCAGATGCCTTCCACTGACACCTTCAAATAGCATTCCTGGCCTCCACACCTCTTTCTTTCTCTGAATATAATAAGCTCCAATAAGTTCAACAATTCCACGGGAGCCAGCCTCCCTTTTAAGCACTCTTGAGTTGTTGGAACCATTATTAAGATAAGGAGCCTAATTCTGAGTAAAAGATGATTTCGTGTAAGCAAAATCTGGGGGCTGCTCCTTTTACCTGCTAGAAATTCTCACTGCCTTAAGCTTCGTCCCACACACACAGAAGCTGCGCGAGGGATCTTAGGGAGACCTAATGACAGTAACAGCAGAAAGGGAGCTGAGAGCTCAGCTCATTTTACACACAGGGGACTGAGGCTCGAGAGAGAACTCAGCCAGCACCCCACAGCTATTTTGAAATGGAGCTTAAGCTAGAACCCGGACCTCCAAGTCCATCCCAGGCTCGTTCTAAATGAGGACCCAGAGAGAGAAAGAAAAGGAAGGTGGGGGAATGAACCTGTATGTTGATAGGGTTACTTTCTGAAAAGGAAAACCATCTAAAGCCTGTTTTTCAGTAAGCTGGCTTCGAAATATAAGTAAAACCGAAATTGTTCTTTAGATGTACCCTACGCCAAGAATTGGCAGGGCGAAGATGCATTGTGATGGGTTGGGGAGGCGGGAGTGGATCTGTATCCAGGTCTTTGCGAAGGAGCCAAGTCGCCTTTTCAGATCCGTTTCCTGAGTGGGCAGCAGGCAAAATAGTTCATCGCAAAGTTTTCAAGAGGTTCAACACAAAAAGAAAGGGTAAGAGATGTGGAACACGTGCCATATTTTTAACAGCTACAAAAGAGCCCCCTTCTCTTTGAGCTGAATGACCGGTGGCACCATCATAATTGAGGAGCAATAAAATAGCTGAGCCAAACTGGCAAAGAAAGGGCCGGGCCGATTTATCAGCTTGCAGCCTCTTCTGAGAAATCCAAGAGCAAGAAGCTGGTGCCAGCCAAAATGCCTCATCTGTCTGTCCTAATGGGGAGGCGTGGGGCTGCCACAGGATGAGCCCCCTGGTAGTTTTTCTTGAATTAAATTGGCCAACAAGATGAAGGTGAGAGGGCAGAATCTGTCCCAAGGGACGCAGAGATGCCACCTGAATTGCAGGAGTGCCATTCTGTGGGGGGACCTGAAGTCAGAGCAGCTTTAACATGCTTGTCTTGCCCAGAGGACTCTCTCTCTCTCTCTCTCTCTCTCTCTCTCTTTCTCTCTCACTCTCACTCCCACTCCCCCCCCCACACACACACACCCTGGAAGCAGTTAGCTTTCCCCCAGCAGCAACTTCCCGGCCACCTCTCTTACCAACCACCCCAGCCAAAGGAGCAATGTGGCTTGGAGATCAAACAGCAGAACAAAAGAATCCTCCCCAGTAAAGCACCTAAGCTCACCCCGAAAACACTTCCTTGAATACAAATCTGAGGCAAGTAGCACGCAAAGAGGATTCTTTCAGATGCTCTAATAGAATTTCTGCTCGTGTGCTAGCCCCTCTGAGAGCTGGTGTTCTGTCACCGCCTGGGAAGATTTGGCTATGAAAAGGCTCCTGCTTCAGCTCGCCTCCTGGGGACCGTGGCTTCCTGAGCCGCACCCTGTTCAAACACTGACCACTCGCCGCTCCTGCGGAGAACGACTGAAATGTGAAAATTCTGGCAGTGCCGAGGCATAAACCTAACATTCCGCGCACTTCTGTTTCCGTGATACACAAAATCTATAATGTGAGGAGAAATCATCATCTTAAATAAGTCGTCATCTTAAATCATCATCATAAAGTCACACTGCTCCTGTAACCCAAGTTCTCAGCCATTCCCGGAGCAGGGAAGGGAGAAAGCTGCCCGGGATGAAGGCCACGTAGGAAAATATTACCCAAACACCCTCTCAAGTCAAAAACCGAGTTTCCCTGTGTCCTGACAGCGTTCCTGGTCCCTGGCAGGATATCGCAGGCAAGGGAAGGAATAAACTCTTGCTTGATTTGCTATAAGACTCTTCTCCTTCACAGCCTGCACATCAGGAGAGGGAAAAGTACGAGGCGGACTGAGCCGATTCCTTTAACGTCTCGGCCCTGCGTTCCTGCCTCTTTAGGATCTGCTCGAAGTCTTTGAGTTATTCCGCAGATTGAGTATAGAGTATTTTTGTTACACATATTGAGATTAATTAGTTAGCCCTTAGGAGGTTTTGCCTACAGCCTTCACCCTGTAAGGAAAAGTGTGAATACATTGAGATTATTAATTCACAGTAAACGGCAGCTCCTAGCCCTTGCTGAGTACATTTGTGTCTCTCCTGAGCTTCGCTAGCTGAGTGAGCCACTAGAAGGCACTGTCTTCGGCTACCGCAGACCAAATTCCCCTTTAGCTTATTCTCCAGGTTTCGACGAAAATCTTTTGTTATTATTATTTTCTTTAATTTTGGAGGGTGGGGACCCAAACCTTTTGTGAAACCAAATTGGCAATGGGGCCTTGGAAGGGGTGGATACAAATATTGTCACTTTGCTGGAAATCAGCTTGACCCTTCTCCAGATAATCCCAATAATTGTAGAGAAATTGCTCTAGACATAACCACTGGAATGGCAGAATCTATTAAAAACCCAAAAAGCTAAATAGGTTTCTATTAGCAAAGATCCGATCTGCTTTCAGTGTTTGGTGAAACGCAGGTGAAGTTATGGTCGTGTGCTCAGTCTTCAAAGAACGGCATAAAGGCACTGGAGTTGTGATCATTTGATAAACATATTGATGCCAATATATTTTTGCCTAAATGCAATAAACTCACCAGTAAGTGATGCAAGTTGACAATGGGAGGTAAAAAGAATATCTTGGGGATGTTGGTGGGAGGCAACGGGAAACAGCTAGTGTTCATAAAGCCTAGTGAATTCCTGTGTATTTGAAATGTCAAAGAAAATGTGATGTGTTTCTCTAAATTGTGTCTCTCTCTACATGTGTAAATGAACAGACGCAGATAGAGCCCAAAAGCATGGCATGGATGAATTTATCTCGTCCAACCCCTGTAACTTTGACCACGCTTCCCTCTTTGAGATGGTGCAACGCCTTACTCTGGATCACAGACTTAATGATTCCTATTCTTGCCTGGCAAGTATATTCTTTGGTCTACAGCAATTTAAACATGATAACACTTTTTTAAATGAAGTATTTCTTTACCTTGATGTTAGAAGCTCTTTTCTCCGTCACAGAGCCCCTTGAACAATTGTGAATGTGTTCTTGGTTTCCTGAGTCGAGATAGTTTTCCTCACCAAAGAAAGAAAACAGAGCGGGAGGAAGTTTATCAGTAGAGACGATCCAATTCCCCAGCCTCCCGATCTGAGCTTCTCCCTTTTCAGCTGCTACATGAGAAATATTCCCAAGAGGGTAATCAAGTTTGGCATCTGCTGTGGAGAACTTGTAAAAATCGACTCGGTTTCTTAGACCTTGAGATCCCCCTCCCTACCCACACCAGATAGGACCCTGTGCTCCTATCTCAGAAACGAACGTTTATTTTTGAAGATTCAAATGATTTGTAAATAAACTCCACTTTTTATAAGCTCGACTGGGCTGGGTTTGTATGGCTGGCTTATTTCTTTTTTTTTTCTTAATGGTATTTAAAGCATTTTCTGCCTTTGGGGGAATTTTTTGCAACGCTTTAGGCTCTGGGGGGGCCAGCTGTCCAGCAAGGGCCGCAGGGTTCTTGCAATCCTGTTTTAAACCTAGATTGAAATCATTTACATCCGAGGGACCGCTATTATGTTGTTACTGGATATCTGAAGATACATTTGGGGCTTTATACTATCAAAGTCAGAAGCCTAAAAAAAGACCAAATTTATTTCCTTCTGCAAACCATAAATTATTTCATTTTTTAAAGGCACTTGTTAGTAATCCCACTTTACAGATGGGAAAGGTGAGGGGAAATGATGTGATAGCTTTACACGGAGCAGAAGCCACACCCCTGCTCCTAAGGTTAATATATCTGCATATTTTTTATGTGATACACTTAACTAATTAATGTGCTGTACTTAACATATTATTCATATTAACATACATAGAATGAAAATCTCTTCCTTTTTTAAGTGGCACAGCTATATCCTAAATCTATTCCAACTAATTTTTATTTTAAATTTCTTTCTTTTTTTTTCTGTACCAGAAGCCGAGCTATTAAAAATAGGAGATAAAATAGTCTTAAAACCAAAGCAGGACTATGGGGAATAATTTATTAATCTGCCTCTCCTAACAGATTCATTGATTATATCAGGTTTGGAATCACTTTATCAGAAGAATCTGAACTTTGCCAAGTTGGAAAGGAATACATCGTTTTGACTTAAAAAAAGAAAAACAGAAAAAAGCTTACCTTGCACTGCAAAGCAATTTTTCTCAAACGTGTTTCCTACGATTATGTGATTACCTGCGAATTATAAATTGCATTCGTGAAACTTGTAAGAATATGCCCCTGAACTTAACTCATTCACTTTTATGTATAATTTCTATTATCTTGAAAAATTTTTTGAGGTGCATTATTTTCAAGACTTTTTTTATACCATCCTTTTTTTAAACAATTTTCTTTTTCACTGAGAAATTCATCACTAAGGAGACTTAATTTAAAAAATAATAATAATAAACCAGAAATGAAATTTTGAAGCTTGTGTCCTATTAGTCATGTATAGGCTTAAAAATATGCTCCAAAATCCAGAATTAATTATGAAGAGCATAAAATCATTTTCTCCCCCATTTGCATACCTATATCTATTCATCATCGTCCCAAAGTTTCAGAAAATAACAGCAATTAAAGGGACTTATCTCCTGCCTCTATATATTCCATTTTCTCATTATTACAATCTTTTTTTTTCAGTTAGTTTTGGAGACCGACCAGCAGGGATACATAAATTTTTCTGTGTCTTCGACTGAGTTCCTAATTGATATTTCTTCAACTCTTTTCAAAGCAGCTATTTTGGCATCTACAAAAGACGTGGTGTCATCCGAGTCGTAGAAAATATATTTTAATCTTTCACAGCAGTGTTGTTTCTAAGATTTAGCATTTGGGGTAGCAGATGGAGTGGCAAAGAAGTTGCCTATAGGGGCAGCCCACTGCCTCGACTACTCTCCCGCCCTCTGCAGTAACTTATAATTTGAAATAGGAAAGATGCCGCCTCTCGGATGCATTGCTGAGCTGCATGTTGTCAATCGAAGATTTTGCAGATCACTAATATGAGACTAGAGGGTTCCAGAGGCCTCCCTCACGGCACTTCTGCGGCCTCTACCTGCCCCTAGTCTTTTGCCTTTTCTCTCCCAAGACAAAGCAGTATTCAAAAGGTGACTCAGACAAGACCCTCAGAGTAAAATTAAATTTGTATTTAAAACAATCCTCAATCCCCAGCTCTCAAAGCACCACCTAAAGTAGTTTATTTCTTGCTTCAGAAAGGTACTGAAGCCAAAGGAAGTCAGTCGTTTGATTTCAGGCTTGGCCCAAGGGTGACCTTGAGTGGCAAGTCACTTGGCCTTTCTGAGCGTCGGTTTTCTCACATGCACGGTGCCTCCCAGTGGGCTCGGAATCGGGGATTCCGTCCGGGTTCTCTTTTATAGCAGAGTTTTGTCTGATATTACAGCAAGCAAGTAAATAGAAAGAAAACAGATAGCTGCCAGAGAGGGGAAATGCTAAACCAGGGCACAGAAGCTCCTCTCAGTTTAATTGAACCATGTCTGACTGGCAACTTGAAAACTTAGTATGTTGTTCCCTTTGGAAAATTATGTTACTATCATAATAAAATGTTTTAATTACAGTTGACATTCAATATATTCTGTATTAGTGTCAGACATACAACATAGTGGATAGACAATTCTGTACTTTACAGAGGGGTACCCCCACCCCCGATACTTTAAGTACCTACCTGGCACCATATATAGTTATTACAATATTATTGACTATATTCCCCCAAAATTTTGCTTCCAAAGTGAAAGGACTCAGGAGCCCTGGTGTGTATGTAGACCAGTCGTAGTATTTCTTAATGCTCCGGAATAGCAAACGCAGAAGACTTGGAGTGAGACAGGGCTGAATTTGAGCCCTGCCCCTGTTCTGTATTTTCTGTGAGTCATTTAATAGCCCTGCTCTCCATTTCCTTGTCTCCGAAATGAAGGTAAATCTGCCCTGTGCGTGATGCACGAGGCTGCTATGGGCTCAGCTGAAAGCCCTTTGTCAAGTATTAAGCAGAACACCAATCTAAGGCATTCATGTCATTATTTTTCTCCTCAGTAAGGAAGACTTTGCCCCGCACCCTCTCCAACACTCCTCTAAGGTGTAAGTTCAGGGTTAGAAAAGTGAGGAGGCCCCTCCTGGAGTCTGCTTTCTGCTAATCCAGACACCACCCCCCACCAGCTCTGGGATTCTAGGGGAGCTCCGCGCCCTCCCCGAGCTCAGTTTCCCACCCATCAAACCGGGGGACAGCAGCACCTCCTAGGGCTGCCCTGAGGGTTGCACCGGACGGCGGGCGGGGTGTCAGCACAGCGCTGGGCACGTAAGCCATCAGTGCGTGGCCCTGGCTACTCTTCCACCCCCACTCTCGCAGCCCTCCGAAAAGACACCAGCACAAGCCTGTATTTAAAAGAAAGTCTCTCCTTTATTCCCCAAACAGGGCTGGTTCAGTCCTGGCCAGGTGTTTGTGCTAGATGAATACTGCGCCCGAAACGGAGTCCGCGGGTGTCACCGGCACCTCTGCTACCTCCGGGACCTGCTTGAGCGCGCGGAGAACGGCGCGATGATCGACCCCACGCTCCTGCACTACAGCTTTGCCTTCTGCGCGTCCCACGTCCACGGGAACAGGTAAGCGCGTCCCGGCTTATGCCTGGCCCTGCGTCTAGGGTCACCTCTAACTCTCTGTCCGTCCCCGCTGCCTCAGTGGGACACACGCACACACACGCACACGCCAGGCAAACAGCACAAAGGTCTCGCTTAGTTTCTTCTCCTTTCGCGGGACTTGAAGGAAATGCGAGTGGCCCTTGGAGAGGGTGCCTGTAGCGAGGACAGTCTGGGTTTCGATCGTGGCGCCCGCGATAACCCCGGAGGTGAGGACACCCTGTGCCACAGCTCCCCCATCTGCAAGCAGGAGGCCCACGTCCTGATAAGGTGCTGGGAGGGTGCCGGCGGGCAGCAAGGGCCCGGCCCCGGCCTGGAGCCTGCGGGAGGTTAGCGAACGCGCGCTGTGCTGCCAGGACCATTCCTTCCGTAAACCCCGACGCTGACCCACCGAGTGTCGGGCACCCGGGCACCTTCAACACGTGCGGGGGAACAAAAGCCAAACACCCAACGAGGGCAGAGGTGCCTGGAGACTGTGCCCTGAGAACAGGAATAAAACTCCGGGGTGGAGGGGCCGGCAGGGGGCAGCGGGGCCTCCCCGAGGAAGCGCGGCTGGGGCTGGGGACTGAAGCCAGCGTAGGAGTCCAGCAGCTCCGGGCAAAAGGAGCAGCACGTGCAAATGCCCTGCGCAGGGAGGAAGCCAAGCCCGTTTCCAGAGCTAAAACAAGCGAGGTGAAGCTGGAAGGCAAAGATAATCCTAAGGCTTTTAGCTTAACCATAGGGCTGGGGAGAACTTCAGACCACAGCGTAACCGGCCCCCTCACTTTACAGGTTTTATAGACAAGACCGGAACATCAGTTCTCCTAACTTTGTACAAAGTACTCTCTTCCCTTAGACGTTGCCCAGCTCCTGGAGGAAAAGATCCAAGTTCTGAAAAATGCAAAACAGCAAATAATTTAAGAACATTTCCATTTGGCTCTGAAGACGTGGAATAAATTTCCACAGTGCCACAGCCAGTTTACTACCCCAATGCACGTAGCCTCACATGGCTGCAGAAACAGGCCTGTGTCACCCCAGAGCACCCTGTCCAGGAGCCGGGGGAGGCGTACCCGGGGGAAACTAGGTGCTTCAGGACCCGGCCTGCGATGGAAAGCTGGCTGCTCCGGGGAAATTTGCATGTGGGAGAATCCAGAATTGACCACATTTATTTCCACCAGAAAACTGTGTCAGTCATCTTCATCTTTGCAAGCTATACTGCCCTGAAACGTCCGTGGGATCTGTTCTGTGCTTTTCCCTTCTCTAGTGGTGGTAGATTTTATCAAATGCCACTTTAGCATTTAGAGCTAGATAACAATAGCATTGTAGGTTTGAATATTTAACAGGCAATAAGGTTTTCATCACCTCCCATTATTATCAGGCTCACTAGCCCAGCACATGACCTCGGATTTGCACCAAAGATATTCATGAAAACTCTGATACCTGAGAAGTATCTGTGCATAATTCTGCTTTTTATAAATATGTACACTTTGATGACTATCTGTTACAGCCTCTTGGACTGAATTCTTTAGAGAGAGAGAGAGAAGTTGCATTATATTCTCTGGGTTGTCACACTGTATTCTACATATGTTACTGAATAAGAAAGTGTTATAAAATAATGAAGTGTTTTTGTAAACTCCCTGGTAAACATCATCATGAATTATGATACACATTGTCTGGATTTCATATTGTAAGACTGCCACTTGATTCACAGTTAGGTTTATACATCTTGTCATGGAAACAGTTTTGGGTTTCTTATTTTCTTTTCAGTTCTGATTTTCCTTATGCAAGTTTGCATCTTTTTCCCCTTATTATTTTAGTTTGAATTCATTTGCTCTTGCTGTCTGATGCATCCTTCTTTTTATTTCTTTTGTTTGTGCATGTGTGTGTGCTCTTGGTCCTCCTGTGCTGGCCACACTCTGTGCATGCCCTGTGCCACCACCCCCTCTCCAAAGTCAACAAATGCATGTGGTGTACCTTAGTGGGCTGCCACCAAACACAGACCCCGAAGGGAGCAAAACTCCCTCCCCATCTGAACCAGAGGCTAAAAAAGATACAAAAAAGGAATGTAAAAGAAGAAAAGATTTCAAAACTCAGGCAAATCCAGAGCCCAAAAGGTAAGAAGTTACATGTGTGTTGGCTTGTATTTTGCGGTGTCTGTGACCTTCCCCTCCGCCCTCCCCCCTCCACACCACAACCTCTGCCGTAGTGCACAGCAAGCTTTTCGTATTCCTGAGGTCTCTGTTCCTTTAAGGTTTTTCAAAAGTGCACTTTAATCCTAGCGATCGGTAAAAATGCCATGTATTAGGGCTGAATTTTAGTCAGGTGTTTAGTGACTCTTAAAACATGTTCTCATTTTTAAAAACTAATTGAGCAATATATAAACAGAATCGTGAGTCAGATTGCTGTTTTAGTGGCATCTAGTTAGGGGCCTGGTACCTTACCAAGTCATTCATAATAAGCAACCCGTGCTTTATAATTTTGAAATTATGTTTCAAGAGCAAATAAAATTTGCTGGCATAAGATGGGTCTATACATTTATAGCAGCTCTATCGTTTTCAGCAAACCCCCCTTCCACACTTGTCTCATGAAAGAAATCGATCTTCAAATACGATTTATAATAAAGTCACAAAATAAAGCCTATCACTAAATTAATGACTTAGTAGAATCACTTACATCATAAGCGCATGTTGAAGGCACTTTTAAGTTCTAAAATTATGTTTATCTTCTCCTGTTTCCTATGACCTTTAAGGATACTCCCTTTGTGAATTGATAAAATGGCAAATTGGTGGCTTTTTCTCCTTATAAACCAGATTTACAGTTATTTCCTGTGTTACCCATGTATCCTTCACCTTCCCTACCCTCACCCTGAATGAACACTGATATTCTCAAGTTTCTTTGTTGCAATTTTGAAACTGATGTTATGACCCCGGCTGGCGTTGCCAAGCCACAAGAGTTCGCAGCAGGTATGCTTTATGCTTTGTGTGAATTAATCCACTGGAACATTTCTAAGTCCCAAAATATATATGCGGTTCATATGTAGGCAGACAGAATAATGCCAACGTGCACTTCCTAGAGCACGGGGCAGGCCGTCAGTCAGTGTTTGCAGGTCTAGTAGTGAAGGTCAAAGAAAGCCCTGGTTCCGTGTGGACCCATCTTCTGAACTTGCAGCGGTATTTAAGGATGGAGGTAAAGTGGAGTTTCTGTGTGTGCTTCCCTGTGAGGGTCAGGATGCAAGGCGGGAGGAGCTCGCGGCCAGTAGGAAAGTGCCTGGAGAATGTTGCAGGTGCCTGGAGCCTCTGGCTGCTGTCCAAGGTGCTGCTTTCGGAGTGATCTGTGTTGAAACAGAGCAGAATAAATGGTCACACTTGCTGGAGCCTGACCTAGTCCCTGTGCCTTGAAAAATTATCCAAAAGGATCTTGAATGGTACTTTGAGAGGCTTATGTGTGTCCCAGTGTCTATGTTTGCCTGCATTTTTTTAATGAAGAACAAATCATAATATTAAGTATCAGTTGTGTAACATTCTGCATTTTACAAAGTGCCCTTATATATTCTATCTCACTTGCTGTAACATTTTTAATTCAGCTATTTTTACATCCATTTTTCAGATGATTAAACTGAATGTCTGCTCACTGATGTTCTGAGTCCAAAACTCTTTCTCTTTGCATATATCAGCACTGTACAGAGAGTCTAAAGATCTGAGCACTGGGGCCTGTTCTGTATAAACCCAGGATTAATCTATCTCCTTTGTGCCTCAGTTTTCTCATCTGCAAAGTGAGCACACAGAATCATAGCATCAGTAATATCCCATCAACCTCTAACATCATCTTCTATGGGTTGTAATAGCCAATGAAGTAGTACATTGTTAGATTTCATAAATAAAGTTTAGTTTAAATAAGGACGATTGCTGCCACTTAAGAAGCACTCCCTACACACCAGGCACTGTGTGAAGTGCTGTTTACATGTATTATTTTATTTTTTCCCTTATTACATCCCCATAAGTGTTATCATTGCCTTCATGGAACAGATGAGGAGTTTGCGGCTCAGATAAGTTCAGTCACTTACCCCGCAGCAGATGAGTGTGCGGGCCCGATGCAAGCATGGCTCTCCTGACACGCAGCTCACATTCGCACCCCTCCGCCTTACTGCCTGCCCCGCATGAGTGCTGTGCACAGTGTGAGGTGCCAGGTTCAGCCATCTGATATGAGTTTAAACATCCCAGGTGAGATATATAGTAGTCACATGAATTTAGTTAAGAGTTTTCTATTTTTGTGCTAAAAATGCCCCAAATCAACTTGGCCCTCCTGATAGTGTTGGCCCAGCGGAGAAAGCCAGAGTGCACCTGAAGTGTTAGATCCGCTAAGGGGGCGTCCCCTTTGAACACTGTCAACAGCCCTTGGTGTTGGCAAGACCATTTTCCTAACCTCTTTCACCAGGATGAGCACGATTTGCCCTTAGAGATGTTATCTATTCTTTGACCCAGATGAAGAAGGAATCCGCGTGTTGTGGACACAAATGGCCCTTCAACTGGATTTAACTGAACAGTAGAGCCAATGTCTATTGTCGTCTCACAACCAGCTTCAGATCAGTTTTACCTAATTATCAGTTCTACCTACTAAGAATTCAGCAACCCCAAAGGTGGAGGCAGAGCTGTGCCCTGCTGCAGCTGGAAATCATGAGTAGGCACTCAGTGCCCATGACCGATGACGGATGGCCGAGTTTCTCCCTCCTCCAGAAGCCTGTGTCACATCTCTGTGGAAAATGATACTGATGTGAATTGTCAACACCTAATCCAAAGGAGACACGTCTGGCCAGTCACTGGAAGATATGGAACCATCCACGTGTCTGGCGTCTTTCTGAATGGTGGTTCTTGACTAGGGGTGATCTTTCCCCCGGGGGACATGTGGCAATGCCCAGAGACATTTTTGATTGTCACACTGGAGAGGAGCGGTGCTATTGTCCCTGAGCAGGTAGAGGCCAGGAACGTTTC